CGCAACGAAACGACGGCGGCACCCACCTGCCGCCGTCGTTTCGTTGCGGTCTGCTGGACCATCCTTTGTTCACTCTCTAACTTGTGACTCTGGCAGAGATTCCAGGACTCTGGCATAAATGTAAGTACTTATCAAACCGCGCAGTAGCAGGGCGGGTGTGGACGGGAAACGGTTTCCAGAAGGTGGCAGGAAATGTTTGCAGCGTGGAGCGCTAAGGAATCGTCTCAAAAGCCTGATTGAGGGGCTGTGCAGCGTTGCTTGGGATGTGGCAGAGGTGGCGGGTTCCTGGGTTGCAGCAGGGCCCAGCTGTATCTGGCGATGCACAGGCCAGCCTGCCGCTCGCCACCGCCTCACTTGCCGGCGCCGGCGTTGGCGTTGGCGCTGGCAGAGGCCTGCGCGTTGGCGTTGCCGTTGCCCTGGGCGTTGGCGTTGGCAGAGGCGGAGGCCTGGGCGTTGGCGGCGCTCGGGCTGGCCCCGCCAGTGGCGGTGGCAAAGGCCTGCGGAGCAAAGGGAGAGGAGTGAAGAGGTGCGGCGGCGAGCCGGGAAGCACGGCTGCCTGCAAGTTTCCTTGTCTGCCTGTCAATCGGGTGGCACGTGCTGGTACTGCTGGCAGCCACTGGCTGGCAGCAGGCAAGCAAGGGAGCGGCTCCAGCCAGCCGCCCTTGCCTGGGCGTTGGCCTGTGCCAGGTTGAGAGGGATGCACTGTGGGTTGAGGGTGCCGGCGTTGGACTGGGCCACAGCCTGTGCCACGGCGTTGGCGGTGCTGCTGGCGCCGCCCAGGGCGGAGGCCTGGGCGGAGGCGGAGGCGACTGCAGGAAAGGGCGGGTTGCGGGTTGGGGTGAGAGGCAGGGAAGGGGGTCGGTTGGTACTTGGATATAGCAGCGTGAGGGGCGCAGGAGCCGGAGGCAGCAGCTTTGGGAGCAGCAGGAGGGCCATCCAGGCGCCAGCAGCAGGGGAGCTCACAGGCCAGTGCGGAGGCAGTCTCCTGGGGGCACCGGCGGCAGGCGTTGGTGATGGCGCTGGCGCTGGCGGAGGCGATGGCGGAGGCGGCGGCGGAGCCTCCCGCAGCCTGAGCCTGAGCCTGCATGTCAGTTTGGGCGGGTGGGGCGCGGCAGTGAGGCTCATGAGAAGGGACTGGACAGAATGGGAGTCGTTGATGCCGGCATGCAAGCCAGGACCACAGCACGCACAGCGTGCGGACGGCGCCCACAGCCTGAGCTGGTGGGCTGCCTGGCGGCAGCCCAGCCCGCCTGTGCCAGGTTGGCAGCTCACCAGTGCGGTGGCCAGGGCCTGGGCGCCGGCGGTGGGGTTCGTGCAGATGGCCTGGGTCAGTCCCTGCGAGGAAGGAATGCATGGCAGGTGGGCAACAAGGGCAAACAGGCCAAGGGCCGCCCTGCAGAGCTTCCAAAGCGCCACATGGCACCGTTGCCGCGCCAGCACGCCCACCTGGGCAAAGGCATCGGCGGAGGCCTGCGCGGTGGCGCCGCCCCTGGCGCTCGCCTCGGCGGCCGCCTGCGCTACCGCCTGCCCGCGGCCCTGCGGCAGCAGGAGGCGGGGAGCGGTGGCGGCAGCGGCGGGCCGCGGGAGGGCGCCGGGCGGCTGGCTGATGGGGGGAGGCGAGCGGCCACCTGCGACATGCTTTCTGGCAACCCACCTGAGCGATTGCCTGTGCCGTGGCCTCAGCCAGCGCCTGGCCCTGGCCTGCAGGCAGAGAGGTGCGCAGCTCGCTGGACTGGATCACGCTTCGGGGACAGCTGGCAGCTGGGGCATGCTGGCACTGCGCCTGCACGTCGGTTCCCTCGACTCTCACCCTGAGCCTGCGCTGTCGCGGCGGCCTGCGCAAAGGCGTCTGCGCTGCCCGATCCGGCGGCCTGAGCAAAGGCCTGGGCGTTGGCGGAGGCGGAGGACTGCAGCAGCTTGCGGTGGTCTGCAGGGGCAGGGCAGGAAGGGCAGGCGGTGTGTGAGCGGCGTCTCAATCCGGCCTTGCATCCGCGGCGGCGGGACCGGCGGGCGGCTACCCAGACGGGCGTCTCGCGCCATGCGAGCTGCAGCAGCACGCTCTGTGCCCCCTTGCGCCTCCCGGAGGGGCTCAGGCAGAGCGTTGGAAGGGCGATCAGCGGCTGATGGCGAAGGCATTCGTGCACGCTTCTCAGGCGCGATGGCAGTCCCGGCGGGGCCCGCACGGGCCCAGCGCGATCAGGCACTGGCATCAGCGTGGCAGCAGGCCGTAGCCAGGCTCACCAGCAGCCGCGTGGCCTTGCAGGGCGGCCGCCAGGAGCAGCAGGATCAGGCAGGCGCTCTTCATCCTTGCGATGGTGTAGATGCGGCGTGAGTGAGTGAGGAATGAAGAGGGAGGAGGCAACGCGCCATGGCCTTTTCTATACCTACCGCCCGGCCGTTCCGAGAACAGCGCCGCTGCTGCAGGTGGCTTCCGCAGGTGGACGGGGAGCGCTGGTACAGGCTCGGGCAGTGCACGAGGCGACAGAAAAGGTTACAGCATCATGAGAAGGACTGGTTGTGGGCAACCTGGTAGGTGCCGCTACGGTGCCACCGCCGCCAGTCTCCGCACATGGCTGCCCCGTGTGCCATTGCAATGCCAACTGCACCCCTCGTATCATTGAAAAATGCATATTTGATCGCAACAAGTCATTCCAGATGAGCGCAACGCCTTCACGCGACCAGTTAGCGCCGGCGCCCACCGGCCGGCTGGCGGCGCCTTGCACCTGTGCCAAAACCGAACCCTCGACATCACTTGTGACGCTGCAAACGCCCTTAAACCGCAATTACAACCTAAAGAGAAGACCCCGCCATTCCCCGCCGCCCGAAACACAGCGACAACACAAATGCGCTCTGTTGCCCTCTGCTCGCTTGCCCTGCTGCTGGCCCTGCACGTAGCAGCGGCGGATGATTGCATGGAAGGCATGCGTCCCGTCTTGGAGTCTGAGGTTGAGCCAGCGCTGATGATCGGCCTCGAGGGGTGTGTGCCCGCCCCACGCCCCCACCCCACCCCCCACACCTAATGATGCTCTGAATGGCCCCCCCAAACGGCTAAAGTGCCGGCGGGCAAGGCGCCGAAAAGCGGATCAACTGGTTGAGCGCGCTTGGAATACCTCGGCCGGCCGCCGCGCCGGCTTGCCGCCGCCCGCTCTCCCAACACTGCCTGCCTGCTCCTTTGCCTGTGCAGCTGGCAGGATCACGCCCACGAAATCTGCGACTGGCTCCCCGTGTGGATCACGCCCGAGGGACTGGACTATTATGAGACGGGTGCGCAGCTGCAGCAGAGGGACTGTGTGCGGTGCGATGGCGGCCCGCAGCGTGCTTCGCCGCGCCTGCCTGCCAGCGCTGCCAACACGAGGCCCCCGAGCGGCAAGCCCTTGCTATGAGCTGGCCACCTTTGCGCTGCTATTGGTGGCAAGGTGATCCGTCCTCACCTGCCTGGCTTGCCATGCCTGCAGAGATAGTCCCGGTGTGCATGGACAATGAGGGAATGTATCAGTTTACCTATCAAACCATGTGAGCGTGGCTGGCAGGCAGAGCTGCTGCTGCCGATGCCATCCAGCCTGCTGCGGGCCTGCTGACATCCACGCTGTTGCTGCCTTCCACCATGCTGCTACGGCTGCGGTGCGCACTCTGCTGGCAGTGCACCTGACTTGCTTCGCGACTGCCGCCGCTCCCGCGTGCCGCCACCGCAGCAACCCGTGCCAGGAGAACGAGAAGACCACCGGGCAGTTCACTATGGACACAAAGCCAGACAATTGCAACAAAACCTGGGTGCTCACCACCGGCCTCAACCCGCAAGCGTGAGCCGGCAGCAGGCGCACCGTGCCAGGCAGCCTCTCCCTGCTGCCCGTCCCGCCGAAGCCCTCCCTCCTCCTCCAGCCCCACAAAGCCTGTCCCTGCCTGTTGCTCACGTAGCTCGCTGCACCCGCCCCCGCCGCCGAGCGCCCTGCCTGCAGGCTTGTGTTCCCGGCAGACGCCAACTCCACCACCCAAGACGTCGCCTGCCCCGTCGGCTACAAGCCCGCCACCGAGGAGGAGCGGGAGGAGAGGGTGAGGCAGCTGCTGTGGGAGACGTTTGTGGATGCGGCCAACACTGGCAGCATGCAGCATGCTGTCGACCAGCTGGATGAGGCCTGGTACTGCCGGGATCCCGGTGGGTGCTGCCAGCCGCGCCGCCCACTGTCTGGAACTGCAGCCAGCTGCGGCATCCGCTGCTTGCTTGCTGCTGCTGCTGCCGCTGCTGCTGCTGCTGCTGTGTGCTGCGATGTGTGCTTCCGGGCCACTCCCCAATACCCTGCCCCGAACCTGTGGCCCTCCGCTAAAAACCTGCTCGGCGGCGCTCCATCCAGGCTTCAAGCGCATCGAATTCGATAACATGTCGGGTTGCATCGAAACCGACGTGAGCGCAGCAGGCCTGCCCGACCCCTACCTGCCCACCTACTTGCCCCGCCGCTGCCACCTGACGCCTGCGTGCCTAATCGTCCCATCTCCGCTCCCGGGCCTGCCCGCCGGGGCCTGCTGTGCAGCCTCTCGGCAAGCCCAACATGTTGGCACAGGGGACCGTCCAGTGGGTGTGCTCCCAGCAGGCCAGGATTCGCACCATCAGTGAGCTGCCAGCCCGGGTGGCGGGGCTGTAGGGGGCACGGCGCCGCCAGGCTGGGAGCCGCCCTGCCGCCGCGTGGAACCTCTGAGATCCAGGAGGGGCATATGGAAGCGTCCTGCGGGTGCACACGCGTGCGCTCCCTCTCTGCTGCAGCCCTGCTTGTGGCCAGTGACTACGAGATGAGCTGCCGCTGGGTCACCGAGATCACTCCCGACGAGTGAGGAGGAGGAGGGGGAGGGGGAGGGAGGGAAGCCCGGCGCCCTGGCGCCCTCCCGGCGCACCTGGCGGCGCCCCTGGCACCGCGACGTGACCCGGCAACACTTCCGGCATCCTTAAATAAGGCTCTTGCATTAAAAGAGAGGCAACCAACAGCAGACGGCATGCATGATGCCAAGCTTGTGTAACAGCAGCATGATTTGATAGGCAGGAGACCAGGAAACACCACAGCGCAAGTCTAGCACACGCTCCCACGCGCCGCAGCACCGGCACTTGCGTTGCGGCTGCCGCTGCCGGCAGGAGGGAGGCTGGCCTCACATCGCATCGCAGACTGGGGCGTGCTGGCTGTCCCCGGGAGCAGAGTAGGGATTGGAGGCCCTGCAGCCATAAGCGAAAGAGCCGTGGCGAGTCGGAGGGCCGGCGCCATCAGAGCCGGCAGGCGGTTCTCATGCTTGCAGCAGCTCACGATGGGTGCCTGATCCCCCTCGCTGGCGCAGCCTGCTTGCGCCGGCAGATGCGCCACTCACCCGTCCCGGCAGGCGGCGCTGTCGTTGCAGACTGCGGGCGCCTGCGTGCGGCACAGGTCCTGGCCCTGCTCCCCGGCCGCGCTGGCGGCGCCGCCCTCAGCAGCCTCCTCAGAGTCATGGTCAGCGGTGGCAGCGGCAGGCTCAGACTGGGGCGGGGCGGGGCCGACGGTGAGGGTGAAGGTGCGGCTGGCATCCTCTCCCGTCTCAGGTGGGTTGGACTGCACCACCAGATAGTACCTGCGGCAGGGTGGTAAGCCATCCAGCAGGCTCTGGCGAGTGGCAGTTGGCAGCAGCGCTGGGTAGCGCTCTGAGAAGGCGAGCAGGCAGGCGTGCCAGGACATGCCGTCCGTGCAAGGGGCCTGTTTCCGTCCCTCATGCCTGCGCCCCACCCCGCAAGCAGCCTCTCACCAGTAGCCGGGGCGGGTGTCAGCGGTGGCCCTGAAGCCATAGGCGCCGGTGTCGCAGGGGTGGTGGCCGCGCGGCAGCTGGCAGGTGCAGCCCTCGGCGGGCGCGTCGGCGCCGTCCCGCTGCTCCAGCGGGCGGGGGCAGGTGAGGAGCCAGAGGTTGTGCATGAAGTGGCCCGAGTTGCACAGGGAGAAGGCCAGCGGGCCCTGCTGGCGGGCCGCCCAGTAGGCCAGCACCAGCTTGCGCTGGGCGGCAAAGGTGGCGGGGGTGTAGCCGCACAGGCCGGCCGCGCCCTCCGCCAGCGCCAGGTGGCCGTCGGCAAGGCTCAGGGCGCGGGAGGCGGTGCCGTTGTACACCATGATGGCGGAGGTGAAGTCGCCTGCAGCTTAAACACGAGGCAGGCGCGGGGATTGGCGTTGCGGCAGGGCAGGCAAGGCGCAGATAGCGGCGGCACCGCTGAGCCTGCCCTCCTGCCGCTGCGCTCCTGCCGGCCGCGCCTCTCAAAGGCGTCCTACTAGCATTGAAATTCGCCGCTACACCACTCGAAGCAAAGCGTTTGGCCCGAACGTTCACCTGCGGCCGCAGCATCACACCATTGGGCCGCCGCCAGCAGCGTGGAGAGCGCGAGAAGGAGCAGGCGCTGCATTGCTGCGAACGTTTCGGCAGATAGAGGCACAATGAACGAGAAAAGCGGCGCAGCGCAAATCAATCCGCCCCTGCATCTGCGCCGGCGCCTTTCCTCTGCCGGCGGCGGCCGTAGGATGTTTTGCCTGCTGGGTCTGGGGTGCAAGGATTACATTGCCGGATGATCTCACGGTTGGGTTCAGGTTTATTGGGAATATTCAGACAGACAGAAAGACAGACACAGTTATTCCAGTGCTGCTTGCAGGGTTTGGGGGTACAGGAGGTGCAGCAGGAAAGGCGGGGTGCAAGGGGGAGGTAGGAACAGAATCAGGTTGGGGAGCACTCGCGGAGCACAGTGTGTGTGAATGAGAAGCCAGTTGTGAAAGAACAATACTGGATGCACCACGGAGCCGGTGCAGCACCGCTGGTGCTCCCGGCGGGACGAAACGCCGGCGGCGGCGGCAGGCCGTCTCACAGCTTGCCCAGCCTGCGCAGGCGCGCGGCGCACGGCGCGGCGCTGCGCCACCGCGCCGCGATGGCCGCGTGCCGCCCGCTGGCGCCGCGCAGCAGCCGCTCCGCCTGGCCCTCTGCCAGCGTGAAGTCGATGTCACTAGCGGTGACGGGTGAGGCGGTGGTGGCGATGCGCAGCCCGCTTTGGGAGCGGGAGATGTCAAAGGTGAGGGGCCAGGCGGCCGCCACGCGGGCAGCCATGGCGTGGAACACTGCGGGGGCAGCAATGGCGGTGGCCGCCATGCGTGTTGGTGCGTCCGCGGGCTGGGCGGCGGCAGCGAGGTTTGATGCTGAGCAACAGCACCTCCTCACGCGTGCACCACACATCGATCGACACAGTAGCTCATGACATCCCCAAAAGGAAGCGCGCTGGGCAGGGGACCAATCGCGCGTGCATGTGGCGGCGGCAGCGCCTGCAGGGCGGCCGAGCCTGGGCCCCACTCACTGACGAAGAAGGCGAGGAGGCGCTCCAGGGACAGGAAGCGGCTTTCCACCAGCGCCTCCATCACGCCCTGCGCCAGTTGGCAGCTCAGCCGCCACGCGCGCGGCGGCAGGCAGGACAACACGTCAGCGATGTGCATCAAAAAAGCGTCCGGCGGATATGCCGGGCGATCCAGAAACAAGGAGGAGAAGTCTCCTGCCCACCCAGGCCGCCTCCTGCCCACCCCACGGCGCCGCGCCCCTGCCATCGCGGGCGCGGGCAGGCGCCGGGCGCCAAACACAGCCTGCCGGTGGCCCGGAAAGGCGTGCAGCCAACCACCCCCACCACCGCCACCACCGCCACCCGCACTACACCCACCCGCACACCCCCACCCACACCTGGTCATCCAGCATTTGGCTCATGTGGCTGGCCAGCGATCCCATGGCGGCCCGCGTGGCGTCCGCGTTGCCGTCCGCCATTAGCGCGTCGCTGTGCTTGGCCAGCTTGGAGGTGCGCTGCCACACCCCCTCCACCTCGTCCCGCCGCGTCATGGAACTCAGGCGGTGCTCTCCCAGCACGTGGCTGTCGGCGCCGTAGGACAGCACGCTGTCGCTGCGCTGCAGGCCCTCGCCGGCGCCGCCGCGCATGGAGCGCCGCCGCGAGCCAAAGCCGCCCAGTGGCGTGTCGGTCAGGTCTGCAAGGGTAGGCTTGCGGGCCAGGTTGGAGGGCTCGCTGCCGCCGCCTGCTTCCAGGCCGCCCGCGCAGCCGCCGCCGTGCTCGACGCCCGGCGGGCGCTCATCCATGCTGGCTCCGAACGTGTCGGAGTGGTGCTTGTGCACCGCCTGCACCGCCGCGTTGCTGAGCAGGGTGCCGGCCAGGAAGTGGCGGCGGGCGGCGTGCAGGGCGTTGGGGTTGGCACCTTCAGAATGGTCCAGGCTCTGCAGCAGCTCCGCCAACACCTGCACAGGGAGGGAGGAGGTGTGGGTTTGGTGGTTGGGGGTCGGAGGCGGGATGAGAGAAGGAGACGGGAGAAACAGAAGGTTTGCGAGCCAACTGCCCAGCGGGCAGCACCATTCCATCCCGACAGCACGGCACAGCACGGCACAGCACGGCACAGCACGGCACGGCACGGCACGGCACAGCACAGCACAGCACTGCACTGCACAGCACGCTCTGTCCAGGTTCGCCTTGGGCCGTGTGGTGGGCAGCACCAGGTGTGTGGTGATGTACTCGTTTGTGAAAGGGTTGTGCCCCAGGGTCAGCACCTCGGGCTGCGAGCCAAGGCTGGCGATGACCTTGGCTTGCAGCAGGCCGACTGCGGGCCGCGGCAGAGGGGAGGTGCAAGGCTAGTCAGGTGCAGGCAGCCGAGGGTGGGTGGGTGTAGCCCAGATGCGCTGCATGGCATGCGGGGATGATGCCACCCCTGCCTGGCAACCTTGCAACCCCGTTGGCTGGCGCCGCCAGCTGGCGGCAGCGCGGCAGGCGCTACCCCACCCCACTCACGCAGGATCCAGCTCTCTGCCATGGTGGGCGAGTAGAGGCGGCCGTCGGGGCGGCCGATGGCCAGCAGGGTGCCCCTGGCCACGCAGTGGGTGAACTTGTGCACCAGGTGGTCGGCAGGGTTGGCTCCGTGCACCTGCGAGGGTGTGCAGGCAGCGGTGTGGGTGGGTGCAGGCAGCGGTGTATGTGTGTGTGTGTGCGGCAGTGGTCGGGGTGGGCAGTGATTTGGATGTGGTGGGCGGCAGGGGCGATGGCCGCCAGGAGGCCGAGCAGGCGCTGCGGCAGGACGGCCTCCGGCAGCCAGCGGCACCGTGCCTCCCCGCAGGCTGCCCGCTACCCGTCGCCCGGCACGCCTGGGCCCAGCCGGCGGCAGGCGCGCCATGCACGCAGGCATGCGGCGGTGGCACGCCCTCGCGCAAGTATGCGTGAGGCATGCATGCAAGGCTGGCCTCACCTCTACCGAAGCTATGCCGTAGGAGAGGGCAAACATCTTGGACACAAAGGCCTCCACGCACTGGTGCACGTAGGGCACGTCGGCTACCACCAGCGTGCGCCTGCCCCAGCGGGCTAGCAGCGGGCGGCGCTGCACCAGGCAAGCCGCCAGGATGCCGCACCAGATGTAGATCCTGCGGCGGCGGGGCGGGGGGCCATTCCTGGGGGGCCAGTCCCGCAAGGCAGCAGTAGTAGCAGTAGTAGGCGCAGCAGGCACAGCAGGTGCAGCAGGCACAGCAGGCACAGCAGGCACAGCAGGCACAGCAGGGGCTCCGGCCCTCACATGGAGTCAAACACGAGGGCTACGCGGCCAAGGGCATCCACCAGCGACGTGGATGCGCCGGCGGCAGCCGTGATGGCATCCGTCACCGCATGCACCACCTGCACCGGCAGCGGCGGCGCCACACGCTTGCTGCGCGTGCCACCAGCATGCGGCAGGGGTGGAGCGGAAGCGCAGCAGCCGCCCCAGCGCCACAGCCCGGCACCCCGGCACCGCGCATCAGCGCTTGCACAACTCTGCTGCGCGTGGCAGCTATTGCGGCAGCTGCCGAGCAGCTGCCAGGCACGTCCACCCACCGGGTATCCAGATATCACGGTACCGGCGATGTAGGCGGCAGCCAGCGCCCAGGCCCAGGGCCCCTCCAGGATGTGCAGCGCCCAGCGGCGGCCCGCCGCCACCAGCGAGTCGTGGTGCTGGCTGGGGACGGGAGCCCCCGCTGCGTCCACGCCGGTCAGCGCAGGGCTGGCCCGCTGCACCACAGGCACGGCAGAGGCAGGAGCGGGTGTGGGCGTGAGCCGTTGCTGCATCAAGCGTGTGTCAGCTACCTACTGCACATCCACTCCTGCCCCAGCCGGCGGCAATCCGCTGCGCATGACGCGTGGCGGCCCTGGTTCCCGCGGCCCTGCCACCAGCGCTCCGGCTGGCTGCCGGCCGACACGTCGGCCAGCCCGCCTTGCCTGCACAAAGCTGTCCCGCGCCACCCTTAGATCCAGCAGATCCTCCACCGCCAGCGCCAGCCCAAAGGGCGGCAGCCCTGAGGCCAGCGCGCGGTTCCCGCCGCCGCCGCAGGCGCCGCCCCCGCCGCCGCCGCCGCCGGAGGCGTCTGCCGTGCCCAGCGCGGCGCCTGTGTACAGCAGCAGCTCGGTCAGCGTGTGGGCTGTGGCAACCACCGAGATGCTGGCGGGCTCTGCGGAGCGCCACCCTGCCTTGGTGTCGAAGCAGCGCTCGCAGAACGGCGCGTCGGGTGACAGCCGCTGGCCCAGCACCAGCGCCATCTTGGTGTCGATGCAGCCGCTCTGCGAGGCGGCAGGGTGTGGACGGGGTGGAAGGGGAGGTGGAGAGGCAGGGGACGGCGCAGGGAGCGCGCTGGTCCCGGGGGCGGCAGGGCGGCAGCGGCAGGAGGCGGGGCAGGCAGGCAGGGCACGGGGCAGGGCAGGCACGCTCAAACACCGAGCCTCCCTGCTGCCACAGACGCTGCCTCCGCTCTCCTCGCATCCACACTCTGCAGCCAGCCGGCCGGCCTCTGCTCACCATGGCAAACACGCGGCCCGGCATCATGGCGTGCAGCAGGCGCACGGCGTGGATGGTGGGGAAGGTCTGGCCGGAGTGTGATATGGCCAGCGCAATGGCGGCGTCCATGCGGGCCGAGGAGCGGCAGAAGGGGAAGCCGGTGGCGGGCACGCGCCCGCGGTTGATGCCCAGCACGCCGATCACCTTGTTGGCGGAGATGGCGGCGACGCGCAGCCCCGGGAACAGCGTCTTGAGGTCAGCCGCAAACTGCTCGGCCAGCCACAGCGACACCTCCACCCCCACCAGCAGCACATCCACTGTGGCCGGCACCAGGCCTCACCAGGCGGCCAGGCAGATGCGGTCGGTATCCAGCGTGCAGATGGCAGCTACCCCGAAGCTGCCCTTGCCCTGCCGGAGGACGCGCACCAGCGCTGCAGCACGCGGCATGCACAGCAGGGAGTAATGGGCGCCGGCCAGGCGCAGGGCAGGGCAGGCACACCAGGCTGTGCTCTGCAACTACCGTGCGCGAAGCGGGTGGCAGCGTGCCAGGCACGCAGGCACGCCACCCTTGCTGCTGCTCAGCGCCAGAAAGCACGAAACGATAAACAACCAGCAAGATGGGGAGCTGCTGCCGCTTTCAAGTTACTTCAAAAGTTATCTCTATAACGTTTTCCCCTCACCTGTGTGTAGGTCTGCATGGATGAAGTTGTGCAGGGCTGCTGTGGCTAGGGCCTCCGGGCTGGCGTCTCCCATCCAGGCCGGCAGGCGCGGCGTGGCACTGCTGGCCCCCTTGTCGCACAGCGCGGAGCGCAGCGCGGCCGCTAGCCGCGCCGCCAGCCCGCGCGCCCCCGCCGCGCCGCCGACGGCCGACAGCAGGCGCCGTGCCTCGGCGCCGGGCGGTACCACCCGCCGCCGCACCTCCTTGACCTCCTCCAGTTCTTTCCAGTCGCCCACGCCCCAGGCCACGCCCAGGCGCGCGGTACTGTCCCGCGCCGCCAGAAAATCCGCAAACGCTTTGTCCAACACAGCGCCCAGGGCCGCCAGCTCAGCAGCGCTGGCCACGGCGGCGCCCGCCGCGACGCCCGCCTCCACATCCTCCGCGATCGCGCCGCCGCCCGCCACCTTGCCGTTGCCGGGAGGAGGGTGCGTGTGGCCGTTGCCGTTGCTGGGAGGAGGGGGCATGTGGGCTGCGCGGGCCAGCGACGCCGCCGCCGGCGTGGCCGCCACGGCCTCAAACGGCACGCCCGCTACCTCCACGAGCGCCAGGCGCAGCGAGGCGGCCCACATACCCTGGGTGGGGTGAAGGAAGGGGTGGAAAGAGTGGGGCCTTGGGTGCTGGGTGCTGGATGGGGCACCAGCGAGGCGTCAGCCCTACTGGCAGCCACCCCACCGCCACCCTGTCAGCTACCGCCTGATTGTATCAGGCTGTCCCAGCTGCACCGGATGTGCCAGGCTGCACCAGCTACCATACAGCTACCACACAGCTGCCATGCAGCTACCGGTAACGGCTGTACCGCCCCACCTGGGTGCGGTGCAGCTCCAGCATGCCCGCGATGTTGATGCTGTCGCACTTGGCCGGCGGCGGGCAGTCCAGGACCGCGGCCAGGAAGCGCGAGATCTCGTGGTGGGTGCGGTACCATCCCGCCGCATCACGGGAGAAATCGTAGTCGCCTGCAGGCAGGGTTGGGCGGCAGGGGAGGCGGCAGGAGGTGGGTGGGTTGAAGCGAGCGTGGTGTTGGCTGGACGTCAACCGAGGCGGCGGCCTGGCGCCAGTGGCGGCAGGGAGGCGGCGGCGGCAGGGAGGGCACACACAGCGCGCACCGTTGTGGTGTAGATGCCGAACTGCTCGATGCCGGGCACGACCGCGCCGGGGCGGCTGGCTTTGGCGCGCCACACGGCGGCTGGCGCCGGGGGCGTCCACTGGTGGGGGTGGGACTCGGAGGGGAGGGGGATGGAGGAGGTGGCAAAGCGGGTGTGGCCTGCAAGCGCACAGAGGAGCAAGCGGCCGGTCGCAGCAGTGGGGTGAGGACTGATGCAGCGGCAGGCAGAGGCTGATGGGCAGCGGCTGGCAGGCGGCGGGGGCCAGCGGGGAGCGTCAGCAGGGACGGCGGCAGCGGGTGGTCGGGCACAAGTGGGGGGGAAGGGGGGGCTAGGCAGCCCACGCACCTACAAACAGGCCGTAGCCGCCGGGGTGCTGCGCGCGTGGGCCCGTGGCGCGGCGGAACTGCCTGTCCAGCAGCACCGCCAGGCTCTGCCGCTTGCTAGGCGCCACGCGGCGCCGCACGCCCGCCACCTGCAGCCAGGGCGCGGCCGCCAGGCCGCCGGCGCCGCCGCTGCGCTTTCCCTTGGACACGAGGGTGACCAGGCCACCGGACTGGGCCCCTCTCATCATAGAGATGGTGCACTGGCGCTCCAGCACTTCCAAAGGGTCTATTCCTGCCTCGGCTGCTGCCGTCATGGAGGCCAGCAGCAGGCCCAGGTTGCCGCAGAAGAAAGCGTGGATGCCGGGGGTGCCGGCCCCAGAGGCGGCACGCCCGCAGAGGTCGGTGGGCAGCGCGCAGGCCAGCACCAGCAGGCTGGCGCAGCACGCCGCGTGCAGAGCCACGGCCAGGCCGGGGGGCGTGGCCGCGGCCCACGTGGCGTGGGCCCAGCACGCCGCCGCCGCCAGCGCCGCGCTGGCCAGCCAGCCGGCGTGGCGCGTCCACCACAGGGCGGCGGCGCGGCTGGTGCCGGCGCCAGCCCTGGCATCCGCGGTACAGCCCTCAGCGGCGACAGTCACGTGCGGCAGGTGGTACCAGCAGGACGCCTGGTAGCCAGGCGGTCGAGGGTCCAGCACTCTCAGGATGGCGGCAGGGCCTGTGCGGTCGGGGGATAAGAGTGAAGGGCAGAAGAGTCGATGAGGCGCTGCAGCGAGCTGCCAAGGGCATCGCTCGCTGCCAGGCAGCGGTTGCAATCCGATAGGCAAAGCAAGGCCGGCCAGCCAGTCACCCATCAGCGGCAGCGGCCAGGCAAATGGCGGGCAGCGGGCAGTGCGCCGCGCACCCGCACGCATGTGCGCCGCCAGGCCCAGCACGCGAGCGGTGAGCAGGTGGGCCGCCTCGTGGGCGGCCAGCGCGGCCGCAAGCGCCGCTGGCGCCGCCGCAAGCCACCACGCCACCTGCACCAGCAGATGAGTCATGTCCGCCAGCTCCGCTGCAGAGACCTGCGGGGCAGCGGCACGGCGGATGAAGAAGAGTGTTGAGCCGCTGGCAGCGGGGTCACCTCCGCCCCTGAATCCCGGCTGGCTGCCGGCAAATGCCAGCCTGCCTGGCAGGGCCCTCCAGCTGCCCACCCCAGAGCCGGACCACGCCTTGCACTTGCCTCGCAGCTGGGGAAGGGCTGGGAGCGCTGCACGGCCAGCCGGGCAGCGGCGCTGCACGGCGGGACGAGGCGGTGCAAGGGTGAGGCCTGGCATTCGCCAGTGGCCCATCCTGGTGGCAGAGGCTGCGCACATGCGGTAATGTGGTGTGCTGTCCGAAGCGAACAGTGCACTGCTGCGGGCGCTCGTCAGCATACGGCGCAATGAGGTTGGTGGGTGTGCAAGCGAAGGGGGGGGGCGCCGCCCAAACGGGCGGTCACGCCGGCGAGAGGACCCTCCGCCACCAGGGTGGCCCGCATGTTGCGCGTCGTACCCCGCTGCTCCATGGGCCCCCGAAGGCCTGCCACAGTCGCTCACCAGGCCATGAGCGCGCGGCATACGGGGATTTGCGCCACCATTGCTGCCGGGACAAGGGCTGCCGTGGCAAGCTGTCAGGGAATTGCGGGGCACTGGCGTCGTCAAGCTTGAATCAAGTGGTGAAGCGCTTCATCGCAGGAAACCAAGCAGTAGGGCTCCCAGGGAGCCTGTGAAACCGGCCAGGACAGCGATAGCAGGCTTGTGAGGTTCCAGGAATCCGTTCAGGAGGGTGATGAGGCTTGTAGAGGAGGGTTTCCATCTTTGGGATGGGCGAGGGCGGAGCCCAGCTTCTCGCGCAACTCCCACCAGGGCCGGTACTATCTTCACCGAACGGCTTTGCTGTGCTTCGGCAGAGGTAGGATAGCAGGAGAAATGGTCCACACGCTCGGCAGGACCCTCCTCCAGTGGCAGTGGCTCCGCCGTGCTCGGCAGCGCCACTGCCGGTGGTGGGTCGCTGCGGTCCCCTGAGGAGGGTGTGCCGCAATGGCAGCATTGGAATCAAGGTGCCAATCGCATTCTGTCTTCTTCCTATGATACTCTCGTCGGTCAATGTACTGCAGCCTGAAGGCTGAGAGGATGCGCCAGGAGCGAGGCGGCGGCCGACACGTCATCGTGCCCGCCACCTCTGGTCCTTCCGAAGGAGTCCTCAATGCAGCGATGCGCTGTCGGCGGAGGGTGCTGCAGTGGCTTGCCCCTGCCTGTGCAACCTCCGGATCTTGTGCCCGCATCAGCCAAATACTGGAGCTAGCTAGCTTGATGGGAGCTGCGGCCGCACCCGCCCAGAAGGCACCTTGGCCTGCCGCCACCTGGCGGCACCCATATGTGTATAACCCAGCTCCTGAGGGGTGCCTGCACATGCAATTCGCGCTCCCCTCATCCAAACTGTCCCTCAGTTTCGGTAGGCCAGGCAGCAGAGGCAGAAAGATGGCCAGCGACGGTGGGTTCCCTCGCATGTCCCCACCCACCACACAAAGTCCGGCCCTGCACCTTCGGATCATCTTTCCGACAGCCCAGGCTGCCGCATTGCCTCCCCCCCCGCCGCATGCAGGCTGCCAGCCTGTGGAGTGGTCGGGGCGTGGGGGCTTCACTCACCTCCTCCACCACCCTGGCTTCGTCAAGACGGAGACCTATGGAAGCGCAAGTGAGACCGAGCGCATTGGCCTGCGGCCGCCCCGATGCCGCCGCCGCCCCGCCACCTCCGCTTCCGCCACCTCCCGCGGCCATTCATCGAGCTCTCTTCTTTCCCTCTTTGTCAGGGCACGCCCAGGGCCCGCAGGAGCAGGAGGAGCATCAGGCGGCCAGCACCAGCGGCAGGGGCGGCGACCGCACAGGGGTGTGGAAGGGGCCGGCGCCTCGGGGCTATGTCGCCGAGCCAATGCACGTGAGCCAGCTGCCTGCCGCCGTCGATGCTGCCACAGCTCTGTCGCGTTGCCTGGCCCGGGCTGCCGAGGGCAGCCATGGACACGGCGACAGGCGGTGAGGCGCGCTGCTGATGGCGGCTGGTGCTGCCGCTGCGCCTGCCCCTGCGCGGGTTGCCCGTTGCAGGCGCAGGACGAGTCGCAGGCTGCCGCCGACAAGCCCATCAACGACACGCCGTATGTGCTGCTGCCAGGGGGCACCCGCATGCCGCTCATCGGGCTGGGCACTTACAAGACCGAGAGCCCAGAGGCGATCCGCAAAGCGCTGGAAGGTGTGGAGGCGCGGGCGGTGCGCCACGCTTACGCTTGCCTCCCCCTTCTTCTCCCCGCTGCTGCCTGCCCTGCTGCCTGCCTGGACAGCGCTGCTGACCTCGGCTCGCACCCGACATGCTGCTTGCCGCTGGCGCGGACCCTCCCACCGCCTTGGTTTCGTGTACCGCCTGCTGCTGCAGTGGGGTACCGCCACATAGACTGCGCCACTGTGTACGGCAACCAGGCGCTGGTGGGGGAGGGCCTCAAGGACTTCCTCGCGCAGGTGTGTGTGCCAGGCGCAGAGCAGCAGCACAGAGGCTGGCGCGGGACGCTGCTGGCTGCGCTGCCTGCCGCTGCTGCCGCCGGCAGCGTGCTGGAGCCGCGCAGCCGCCGCCGGCCAACGCCTGCAAGCCTCTCTGCTGCCGCAGGGCCGCCGTGGTGAGCTGTTCATCACTGGGAAGGTGTGGAACGATGCGCACCGGCCAGAGGCGGTCAGGTGCGGCAGGGAGTGGTTGTGGCGGCGCTGGCTGCGGGAGCCAGGCTGGCTAGCCGCGGCTGGCTGGCTGGCTGGATGGATGCTGCCAAAGCGCCCCTGCCCCCAGCCCCAGCCCTCTCGCCGTGTTGCCAGGGTCCCAAACTGTACCGCCTCGCGTGCCGCCTGTTGTGCCACCGCTCCTCCCGCCTCCTTGCAGGCGGTCTGTGGAGCGCACCATTGCGGAGCTGGGGTGCGCCCATCTGGACCTGTGCCTGGTGCACTGGCCTGTGGCATGGCTGCCAGGCACCGAGCAGACGGACCCAGAGGTCACGCTGCGGCAGACCTGGTGAGCTGGCGGCGGCTGCTCCCCTGGGTGGCTGGCCGGCCGGGGCCGTGGGCCACGGCGGCTGCTGGCAGCTGCCTTCCAGCTGCCTGGCAGCTGCAAGGCGGCCTTCAGTCTGAGACGAGCAAGCATATGCCAGGCCCGCAAAGCACCTGCACGCGTCTGCTTTCCACCCCGCCAGCCGACCCATGCCAGCATCGCCGGTGCCGGCTGCTCCGGCACCCCGTTTCCCTGCTTGCTCCCCTGTGCAGGCAGGCCATGGAGGCGCTTGTGGATGATGGTCTGGCCAGGCACATTGGCGTTAGCAACTTCAGCCTGCGGCAGGTGAGCGGCCGCCCGCTGGCGGCGCAACGGAGCTGGGGAAGCGCCGTGCCGGCAGCTCCGGCCTTGCTCGCCCCCTGCACTGTTGCAGCAGTGCTGGGCAGCAGCGGCTCTTCCGCGCGCCTCTGCTCTCCGCTGCTGGCAGATGTGTTTGGTGTTTGACACCCCGCTTCCGCCTGCTCTCCTCTCGTGCCTGCCAGATTGAGGAGGCTGGGCTACGCCCGCATCAAGCCGGTGGTGAACCAGGTCGAGCTGCACCCACTGCTGGCGCAGCGCAAGCTGGTGGGCGTGTGCCTGCGCAAGGTAGGTGGTCTGGCAGGCTGGCCGGCAAGCGGGCCGGCTGGGGTCGAGCGGGTGGTTCGCTGGCCTCGCAGTTGGATGAATTCAGGCGCGTGCTGGTTGGCGGCCTGGCACCCACGTTCTGCACCCGTCAACAAACGCTGGCCAGATGGCTGGCGACACGCGCCGGCTGGGCACCCGCCCACACACCCCACGCCGTGCCGTGCAGGGCGTGCACAGCGTGGCCTACTCGCCCCTGGGCCACCGCAAGGACAACGAGCTGATGACCCACCCCGTGTTGCTGGAGGTGGCGGCGGAGGCGGGCAAGTCGCCGGCGCAGGTGGGGCGGGCTGGCGGCTCGCGTGGCTGGCCGGCTGGCCAGCTGGTTGGATCACTGGCTGACTGTTTGGTTGGGCGGGCGGGTGGTCCCCTGCAGCAGTGGGCAGAGCCATCAGTTGCGGGGTGTTGGCAAGACTCTCTTGGGTTGCTCGAGACGGCCTCCCAAGCGGCTGGTGCTTCCTGGCTGCCTCTTCTGCCGCTCTGCAGGTCCTCCTGAAGTGGAATGTGCAGCGCGGCGTGGCTGTGATCCCCAAGGCCGGCAGCGAGCCGCACCTGAGGGAGAACATTGAGGGGCTGTTCAGCTGGAGTCTGACCTGGGACCAAAAGGTGGGGCTGGTACGGGCGGCTGGTTGGCGGCAGGCCGGGCTTTGCTAGGGCATGCAGGGGTGCTGTGGCGGGGCGCCGCATTGCCCCTGCATGCCGCTGCAGCCGTGCAGCGGCTCCCGCGGCCGCGCTGCGGACCGCGCAGTCGCTGCTCACCCATCCCCCTAGCCTCCTTGCTGGTTCCTGATGCCCCACCCGCCCGCCCCTGCCCCTACTGATCTGTCACCCGCAGGCAAAGCTGGATGCCATCGACTGCGGGAAGCGCTTCGTGGACAATGCCTGGCACACCTGGGACGATGCCGAGGAGGGCGGCGCCGCCAAGCCCAGCCGCGTGCTGTGAGGGACGGCCCGTGCTGGCTCCGCCGGCGGCGGCGCTGTGCGGCCCTGCCTGGCACTCACGGCGGCGTTTCTGTCTAGTCTGGCCTGCCGGTGCAGTGCAGCGGTTTCATGATCGGGCGCCTCAGCACAGTGTGTAAAGCAGGCGCTGGATTCCAGCAGCAAAGCCCGGGCTACCGAGGAAGATGAGGAGCAGCAGCGGGGAAGAGAGGCTGGCGGCGGCCCGCAGCGGCGGATGTGGTACTGCGAGCTGGCGATTAGCAATCGTCACCCCTGTCGCGCGCTTCTTCTTCCTCATCCGCAACACTGCGCATTCATCCCGCCGCGTTCCGCTCCGCTTGGCTCCGCCCTGTGGCCTGCCCTACTGTGGCGGCGGGGAACTTGCGCTTGCACCACAGTCGCGGTCGAGGCGCCCAACAAGCCTGGAAAGCGGCGCGCGCTGCGCGCCGGGGGTTGTTGGCACAGCAGCTGGAGCCCTCCCAGCCCCCGCTCCGCACCGCACCGCTCCGCTCGTGCCCGCCACGCCGGACCCTCACCTGCGCCCACATGTTATGTATGTAGCATGCTGAAGGCTCACGGCAGGCAGCACCAGACTGCCAGGACGGCTGTGCAGCGCTCCATGGGAGGCTGCGTCGGCCGGCTGGTGGCAGCACGGGCGCTGGCAAGCCTGCTGGCTCTGTGCCTGCTGCATGCCGCCGCACAGGCGGCAGATGCAGGCGCCGACAGCGGCACCAGAGAGGCAGGTCAGTGGCACCTCTCACCGCAGAACGCGCCTCTTCGTCAAGGGCGTAACACGAGCAGCCGCTGTATGCCGCCCCATGGCTGCTCCTACTAGCGCTCGCCTCCGGGATCCCGCCTTGCCTACCGCCTTGCCTGCCACCCCACCCTTGGTTGCCTGCGGCTTGCCCGCTACAACGCACCCGCGGCCCGCCTCACTGATGCAGAGGCGGAGGCGGAGGTGTCCCTGATGCGCAGCGTTCGGCAGGCTCTGTACGAATCCCACCCAGGGCTGGCCTACCGACTGGAGGGCTGGCACCCGGCCGACAATGTAACCCACCCCTGCGACTGGAACCGTGTGTGGTGCAACGCAGACCGGCGCATCGCAGTGCTGCGAGCAGTGTCAGCGCCCCCACAGCCTTTCGGCGTGCCCGCTGAGTGGTTGTTGTGCTGCTGCCATTTATCGCCGGTACATCTTCCCGGCTCCAGGAGCGCCCGCGGCATCCTGGCCCTGACCCCGCCCTGCCCGCCTGCCTGCCTGCCTGCCTGCCTGCCCGTCTGCCCCACCGTGCGCCTGCAGGCGGCTGGCCCCTGACTATGGAATTCCCGGCAACGTCGACGGCAGCGAGCGTGGCTAGGACGCCGTACCCAGCAGCCTGTGCCGCACACTGGGCGGGCGGGGAGGTGGCGCAGCTGGCCGCTGCCTGGAGGCAGCAGCCATGCGCTGGAGCCGCGGGCTGCAGCATGCCTCAGCCTGCCGTGGTGGCATAAGAGTTCTTAACCCTGAGCGACGGCGCTGTTTCTGAGAGACGGGAGCGCCATGGCAGCTGCCGTTCTCCTCTTATTGCCCAGCGCCGGCGTGCCCCCCGCCCCTGCCGCATGAAGGCTGACTCTGGCCGCCACGGGCACCGGCTGCGCCCCGCTCCCCGACGTCGCCCCCGGCGCCCTGCCGAGCCTTGTGTCGCTCCTGCTGGCCTTCCCGGGGCTCAGCAGCACGCTGCCTGCCAGCTGGGGTGCAGCTGGCAGCGTGCTGCCCTCGCTGGCGCGCCTCGAGGTGCAGCTAGAGCTGACGGGCCCGCTACCCGCAGCCTGGGCCCTGGGCTTCCCCCTGCTGACCAAGCTGACCATCACCGGGGCGGACCCCACACCTCCACGTCGCAAGGCCCCGGGTGGCGGCAGGCGCCTGCCGCCGCAGTGGGCTGCCGGCTTCCCATCGATGGCCCACTTGGCCTGTACGCTTTGGACCTGTCGGGCCACTTCCCACTGGGGTGGAGCAGCAGCGGGTTCCCGGCTCTGAAGACCCTGTGAGACTGCGGCCGCTACCCTGCTGCCATACGCTTGCCTACCGGCACGCTGGCATGTCCGGCTGCGTGCCGTGCCTGCCGGCGCGCCGGCTGGCTGGCTGCTGCAGTCGGTGCCTTGCAGATGCTCTTGGGGCGCACCAGCGGCTGCTCGGCAGCACCCCATCACGCTGCCGCGTCTGGTACCGGCGTGCATGCTGGTAACTCGAGGGCAATGATCTCAGCGGCATGCTACCTGCTGACCTCTTTGCGCATCACCCTGCCTTCACCGACCTCTGGGTGCGCACCCTGCCTGCCGTGCTTGGGGGCCTGCACGCCGCCTGCTCGACGCCTGCCTGCCTGCTGGGCAGCGCAGCAGGAGGCCGTGCACCGGGGCAGGGGTGTGGAGGCTTGGGAAGACGTTTTGAAATGGAGGGCGGGGGAAGCAAAGCCCCTGGGCAGGCGCCGCATTGCTGTCTCTACGCTCTGCTACCCGACACGCCAAACGCTTGCCTTTGTGCTGCAGCTGGGCAACAATCGGCTGTCCGGCACCCTGCCAGGTGCCTGGGGCGCATCCGCCACCAAGGTGTGTGGGGCAGGGCAGCGCAGCTGCCTGCCTTTCCAGCACTCCCTGCCATGTGCATCCCAGCACCAGGCCGCGTGAATGACGGTGCTTGTGGTGGGTGGGGGTGCTCTGCGGCCTCGCCCTGCCGCCTGCCACCACATCACCCTGCCCCGGCCAGGTCCTGCCACACTTTTTCAATGCTGCTGGACCCCCCTTGCCGTTCCCCTGGCCGAGCAGCTGGCCGATTTGAGCGTGTCCAAAAACCGGCTGAGCGGCCCCGCCTTCCCGCGCGGCTGGCTGCAATCCGGCGCCATGCCCAAGCTGGAGAAAGCTTACCTGAACGAAAACCCGCAGCTCACAGGGACCCTGCCTGCCAGCCTGGCGTGGTCTCAGCTGAGCATCTTGTGAGTGTGGTACACGGTTGTACTGCAAGCGCTGCGGTTCGCGGAGGTGGCGGAGGCGGTGTGTGAGGCGGCTGGGCCAGGCGCGGGAAGCTGGGCGGGCACCCGGCTGACCTTCTCCCGCCCCGCATCATCACTCCTGAGAATCCCCAATCTAATGCTTGATCTGCAGTTACGACACCGCTCCTCCCGCTTGCGCATCGCCCCATTCTCCTCCGTGCAAGGCCGCTGCGCGCCTGGCCTGCCGCCCCCTGCCCTGCAGGGATGCGCACGGCTGCGCGCTGCTCAACGGCACCTTCCCTGCCCGCTGGTACCGGGCTCCCTTTGCTGCCAGCCTGTTCCAGCTGTGAGCGCATCTCGCCGCCGCGCTGGCGGGCTGCCCGAGGGCAGCCGCATGTGCTGGGCATAGCCACGCCTGGGCTTGCCCTCCTTGCTGACCTGCCGCCTTGGCTGTTGGCAGCCACCGCAGCGGCGACGGCAGCTGCAGTGCAGCAGCAACGCACAAAACGCCTGCACGGCGGCCGAGCAGCGGCTGCCAGCGGCTTGGTTGCTGCGCCATCCGCGGCGGCAGCAGGCGCAGCAGTAGGGCGGGCTGCCGGCCTTGCACGCCCCCGGCGAGCTGGCGGGGCCGGCACCGGCGGCGGCAGAGGCCTGACAACACTCCTGACCTCTCGTTCTGTGTGACCCTGCTCTTCTGAAACTCATACCCCTCTTCTGTCAGGATTCCACTTTTGCCGCACCACCTATTTTCCAACACTGAATCCACGCTTCAGCCGTGGCTGCAGACATTCATTTTCTCCGATTCAATTTTTTGAATATTTCGGTTATTGCAATTGATTTAGTGTAAACGTGTCTCATGAGCCCGGTGACAGGAAGCTGAGGCATGTATGTGGGGGCACTGGGGGCACTGCGAGGTGGGCGAATTCTCCTTATATCAAACGGCCCAGAGCAGGCGGGGTGCTGCCAGCAACTAGCAGGGGAAACACAACAACTAGTAGGGAAAGCACAGGTGGCACAAAGTGCACGGCCAGTAGCAAGCGGGAGCGACGTGTTGCCTCCGGCCGCCGCCGCCGCCTCTGCCGACCCTTCAGCAGCTGTGGGTGCAGCCACCGCCGGCTGCCTAGCTCCTCCCTGCTCCGTTCCCTTAGCCCCTTCCGCCGTTTCAGCAGCTGCTTGCCTGCCTGTCTGTCTGTCTGTCTGTCTGTCTGTCTGTCTGTCTGTCTGTCTGTCTGTCTGTCTGTCTGTCTGTCTGTCTGTCTGTCTGTCTGTCTGTCTGTCTGTCTGTCTGTCTGTCTGTCTGTCTGTCTGTCTGTCTGTCTGTCTGTCTGTCTGTCTGTCTGTCTGTCTGTCTGTCTGTCTGTCTGTCTGTCTGTCTGTCTGTCTGTCTGTCTGTCTGTCTGTCTGTCTGTCTGTCTGTCTGTCTGTCTGTCTGTCTGTCTGTCTGTCTGTCTGTCTGTCTGTCTGTCTGTCTGTCTGTCTGTCTGTCTGTCTGTCTGTCTGTCTGTCTGTTACACCCATAAGGAGCACAGGAATGCTATGGGCCCAGCTGCGGTGCAGCAGCTGGAAAGATGAAGGCAAAATACACAAACGGGGAGAGGGAGGAGGGGTGGGGTGCAGACATAGCAAGGGGGGAGAGGAGTCTGATTGGGGCGGGTCTCCTGGGGGACAAGTGTGCCGCTTCAACCTCAGTTGCTTGCGTCGCCGCCGCCCCCCTGCTGTTGGAGGCCAGTAGGAGCGCCTCCCACGGCAGCGGGGAGAGTCCAAGGCCAAGCACGTACAAGGTGGACCCGTAGTCCACCTTCGTTGCGGCCCCCACGGCCGCCGCCAACAGGCGCACGTTGTCGAGGTGGACTGCCGGGGTGGTGGAGTGGGAGAAGCCCGGGAGGGTAAAGCCCAGCTGTGGTGCAGGGGGAGGGAGGTGTGTGTGGTGGGGTTGAGGGGGGGGTTAGGTAAGGAAGGCAGGGAAGGGAAGGCAGGCACGTTCTGTGCGCCCCCTTGCCCCCGCACCATAACCCCACGGCCCCTGCCCCGCACCACCCAAATATGGACCTGCTGCCCACAGGCACCCAACTCGATCGCTGCCCACCGGCAATCAGGCGGCAGCCTGCAGGCGGCGGCCCCTCAGCGTCCGGGCGTCTCCTGGCCGCCCATCCTTGTTCCTGTCGAAGTAGACGGCGTACTCCACGCCCGCCTCGCGGTTGCCGCCCACGTACTGGTTCAGCGTCACCTATGGACACAAAAGGAGGGCGCTGCGGTGAGAAGGGCCACACGCATTGCAAGTCCCCTCCCATTCACAGTTTGTGCATGACTAGGCGCTTCTAGCTGTGCCAGGCCTGACGCACGCTCAGGGACTTGGGGC